AGAATGTTTAGGTCATATAATCTCTGCAACAAAGTTGGGAGTTTATCTAAATTATGTGAAAGTGATGCGAGAATGGCATATTCCAAAAGATCCCAAGAGTTTGAGGCGATTTTTTTGGGATTAAGGGGATATTATATGAGGGTGTGGGGTGATTTCAAGGCCTCTCATTCAATTATTAAAGAATATTTTGTGTTTGGGTCCTGAAGCTATGCATGTTTTTGTAATTGAAGAATAAAATGGTGGAATTGTCATTGTTGACCATGCCAAATTTCCAACTGCCGTTTGAAATTGAGACTAATGTTTTTGGTGTAGGAATTGGGGCGGTATTGATGCAACAAAGGAAGTCGTTGGATTTTACCAGTCAAGCTTTATATGATAGGGAATGATTGAAATCATTTTACGAAATAGAATCAAGGGATGTAGTTGTTGTTATGCATAAATGGAGACACTACTTGATATGAAATCAGTTTATGCATAAATGGAGACACTACTTGATATGAAATCAGTTTATGATACGAACTGATCAAAGGAGTTAGAAATACTTGTTGAAGCATAGAATTTTAGATGGAGAACAACAAAAATGGATGGCCAAATTGATAGGATTTGACTTCTAAATACAATATAAGTAGGGGAAGGAGAATATGATGGATTGATGATGCCCTATCTAGAGTAACTCATATGATGAAGGTATCCATGATAAGTTCTTCCGAATGGTAAATATTTGAGGAGGAAGTTGCTAAGGATTCTCAATTGAAGAAAAACATGCAGGAAGTGCTACGTGGTTTTGTTTTACATTTTATATTTACAGTAGTAAAAGGGTGTTTGTGTCACAAAGGAAGGCCGATGCTACCAACCAATTCAACACAAATTTCTAAGATTTTGGAGGAGTTCCGTGCTTCTTTTAGGGAGAACATGTTGGGATATTAAGAACATTCAAAAGAATAGTTGATGTATTATTTTGGAAAAATAAGAGAAGGAATGTGGAAGAATTTGTTATGAAGTGTATTATAGCCAAAAGAATAAATACCAAGCACTCAAACCAAATGGTCTTTTGCAACCCATTTCCATGCCTAACCAGATTCGAGAGGATCTTACAATGGTTATAAATAAAGCAAAAGGCAAAGACACCATCTTGGTGATAGTGGATAGGTTGAAAAATGGTGTTCATTTCATGGTCATAAGATATCCTTACACAGTCCAGACAATGGCAGAGACATTATTTGTGAATGAAGTGGTGAAACTGCATGACTTTTCTTTTTTGCCTCTATTATCGCAGATAGAGATAGTAGATTCATTGAATAAGCAATATATTCAGACAAAATATAGATCAAATATATTAGTTATTGAAAGAATCTAAAAACAAACTTGTTCTTATAAATAGGACGAGAGGAGTACTATATACTCATTCATCTTACCTCTGTTCACTGTATGGTTATTGTTTTAATGCCTGATAGGGTATGATTCAAAATTTGTGGCGGATGATTTTCATTCAAAATACAAGATACTTTTGAGTATTCAAAGTAGGTGTAGTAACTTCTTATAGCTGTGTAATCATATAAAATTTAGAGTTTTACACGTTATAAGATAACACTTTTGCTGATAAATTAGATGCTTATATTTTTGGTGGTTAGTTTTATCAGCAAAAGTGCATAAAATTTTATATGATTACACTTTTGCTGATAAATTTAGAAAATGAAGTATTTGATTAGTGTATAGATGTGACAAATTAAGAATTTACAAAAGACAAACAATGATAACAATTACATTGCATAAAATAGTAGTGCTTAAAATATCATTCTAAATTTGTCATATCTATACACCAATCAAATACTTCATTTTCTTAAAATCAACATTTATTTCTAAAGAAAATATGTGAGCTAGCGTTTGACAACTTAATAATTCAGCATGACATACAATTGTTCTTTTATTTTAAGTTTTTCTAATCAACACATGTATTCGAAAATTATACAAAGAACGTTACAATTATAATTCATTTTGTTTGTATAATAATTTATAATACAATTCAATCAACATGAACCTAAGAGAAGAGTGTTGTTTTTATAGTTAAAGTTGTTTTAATTCTAAGTAAAAAAATAAAAAGTTTTAACAAAAAGCTCGTGGGCAAAACCCGCCCCAGTCCACTTTTTCAAGCGGGTTAAGTGGGGCGGGTCAACTTAAAGTACCGAGCCGAAAACCTCAGCCCAGCCTGCCAAAAATGGCGAGTTAAATGGGTCGACCCGGCGGGCCCGACCCGTTTTGTCACTCTTAGTTTTTAGTCTATAAAGAAATTATATATATATATATATATATATATATATATATATATATATATATATATATATATATATATATATATATATAAAGCAATTATTTACAAATGTATTAATACCTAGTAAAATACAAATGGTCCTTCAAATTTCCTACTAAAATACATGTGTATACGCATGAGTACAGGTATTTTATGCGTATTTATTTTCAAAATTTAATAAAAATAAATTGAAAGAAAGACAAATTGTTTAACCAAAAGAGTTTATTATTTTTAAAATAGATAGAAGCTTGTGTCTATAAATTTTTATGGATAGAAAAATATTTTAATTGATAATAGATTTTTTTCATATATAACTATTATTTTTGTTTTGGTATTATTTATAAAAATATTTGAATCAATAATAAATTTATTTTCATACATAAATTTTAATTTAAAATTCTTTTTTTAGAGGTCTAGTCGAATTATATTTAAAAAAATAATCATCCCACGTTAAAATAAATTAAAAGAAATTATTATTCCAACTTTATATTTATGAAATACAAGTTTTTTATTAAAATTTTTGTATGTATTAATTAAAAATATTTGTTTCAATTTTTATTTTAATTGTAAAAATGAGCATGAGTTGATAGTAAAATAGAAACAAATGACTCAATCAGTATTAAATGCTAATAAGCTTTTGAAGGGTGTAAAAGTTAATTGTACTTTATTATTGCATACAATTAAATTAAATAATTTTTGAAAACTAAACCTAATTATAAAAAATATGAGTATAATTTTAAACAATAAATAGCCTCAATATAACAATGTAGCAAAAATAAATAAGGGGTTATATTCTTTTCAGATTTAATAAAAAAAATTGTTCACTCCAAACAATTTTAATTATCATTAAATCTCTCTCTATCATTATATATCTTTTATTCTAGTTTTTATTTTTTATTTTAATGCAAATTGTAAATATTGTAACATTGTGATTTAAGTGTTTAAAGTAGTTGTGTAGTAGAGTATAAATATTAATTGTGTGTTGTATTGACAAATATTTTTAGATATAATAAAAATTATTTTGTTCACTCCAACTAATTGTGATTATCATTAAGTCTCTCGCTATCATTAAATGTCTTTTATTCTAGTTTTTTTTTTTAAATACAAATGGCCACTATTGTTGAACATTGTTGTTTAAGTGTTTAAATTAGTTGTCTAATAGAGTATAAACCCTGATTGTGTTGTATTATCATGTCTAGTTAACCATTGATAGATCAAATAATTTGATTGTATTTGATTGTCATTTCATGCATGACATAGCTAAAAATAAAATTTAAAACAAAAAAGAAACTGTTAATTTGAACCTTCTCAAATACATTAAATACTTCTGATTTTTTAAAAGATTCTATCAATTGTTCAAACAACTTTTTAAAATCACTTTAATCCAAAAACATTATTGACTTTTTAAAATCACTTTAATCCAAAAACATTACTGACATTAGTAGTCTGTTAAAAAAAACACTGAGTTGGCTAACGGCGCTGACGTGGATGACATTTTATCTCAATCTCAAATCCTAGTTGTGGTTGCAATAAAGCAATACAGATGTTCATATCAAATTCAAGTGAAACCCCTATACGAAGATTTTGGAAATGTGTGAATTCGGGTGTAATGTCAAGTTGCAAGCTATTCTTGTGGGATGATGAACTTGAGCGCAACATATCAACTGAACCGAAAATTTCAATTGGTTGCAATTGCTCAGAAATTGTGCAGGAATTAGGTTGCTTCATCAAAGACGTTGAAGCTAGGAAAAAAGAGAAGATGAAATTGAAGTTGGAAAACGAAAGGAAGAAGGCCAATTTGTTTAGGATATTGTTGATTTTGTCATGGGTCTTGTTATTTGCTTACCAGAAATGGTAATGAGTTCCATGTTCATGGCGTCTGTAACTTTTTTATGGTTTAGTCCCTATAAGATGGCTATTTGTTAAATTCCATCCATGATTGGTTAATTAGTTAAGAGTTTCGTTTCTGAAATGTTTTGGCATTTTGCATTTCATCTTTGTTTCATATTGTGTTGTTTGTATGTCATCCCTTAATCTGAATGAAATGTTTCTATTTAATTCTTGTTTCTTACTTATGTTAGTGGGTTGTAATAACAAAATATAATGCTAAAAGGCATACATATTTGTGTCATAATTTCATAAAGCCAAAAAGCATAAGGTTGCAAAATACACAATAAATTGTCTCAAAAGCATAATTTGTCTTAGAATTACATAAAGATAACATAACTTGTCTCAAAAGCATAACTTGTCTAGGAATTACAAAAACATAATATAACTTGTCTCAAAAGCATAATTTGTATTAGGATTACATAAGCATAACATAATGCTATAGAGGCTAAAATGCACAACTACCAGAACCACAATGTCATCTTCATGACAACGGAACCTTCTTCATGACTTCCTTATCCTAGGACTTCTTCTCAATTTCAATTTTCTTAAAACTTTAGGGTTGGTACTCTTCTTCTGCAATAAATAGAATAATTAGAATAATTTCCTTGAAACTTTAGGTTTGATACTTAACTGGTTTAAGACATCTAGGAGTAGATGAACTAGGTGCAGCAGGTACTTCATCTGTTGTTGGAACAGGTGCAGATAAAATATAGTCAGGTGCAAAAAGTATTATACCATATGGAACAGGAGCAGTCTGAGTTGATGTAGCAGAGACACTCTAAACTGAAGTAACAGGGACACTTTAAGATGATATAGCATGCACACTCTGAGATGATGCAGCAAGATTTAGTTGAGTTTGAGTAGCCTCAAATGTTGCTGCAAGATTTGCAGCTAGCATTTCAAACTCAATGTCAACATCTGTTTGAGATGTATTTGCTTCAGAATGTTCATTGATAGCAGCCTCAGTTGGATGACTTGCTTGGGTTTGTTCTTGACTTGCTTGGGTTTGTTCTTGAGTTGCTTGACTTGTATTTGTAAATGGTTGTCCTGTTGTAACTTTCTTTGGTTTTCTCTGCAAATTTTTGGAAATCAAAACATTAAAAGGATTACTTGTTACATATACTTATCAAATTATGGACATGTTACATACCTTTCTTTTTTGAGCTTCATAGTCAACCACTTGACTCTTACAACTTCTTGCATTATGGCCATGTACAGTACATGTTGTGCAACAATAACTTGTTTGTGTCCTTCCCTTATTGGGGTTTTCATCTAGTTCCTTTCTTCTTAACGTTTTAGGCCTTCCAGGCCCTCTTTTATATGCTGGAGGTAACATTTCCACTATGACAACCTATGACCACATGTCTTGTCCATTAATAGGACTTACACAATAACCACAACATTTCACGTAAGTCTCCTTAGAATAATAATCATCCACAAAATCATCAGAACATTTTTTCTTAAAACCTAATGCAACTACTGCATGTCTACACGGGATTCCTGCTAACTCCCAAAAGTTACAAGTGTGTGTTTTTTTATGTATCTACAATGAAACTATTCCTGGTATGGATATGTTCAACTTGTCATATTGTTTCATCAAACCAATTTGAAATTCAATTACCTGCATGTCTCACTTCCTTATCTAACCTAAGTATAGGTCTAGGCATTATCTTGTGTTGTCATTTATCAACCATTTCTCTTAAATTGGCACGCAATCCTACTCGTGAGGTAGGTTCTTATCCATTCACACGTACTAAGGATAAGTTTATCTCTAGCAACTAATATAGTGCTATTAAATTCCTCAAAAACATTATTCATAAGTACATCACATTTGGAATAAAAAGAAAAGGCATGATTACTGTCATACCCCAAATTTGTCCTACCTTTTTTTTCTTGTATATAACTTTGTGGTGTTTGTTTGATCTTCTTTTAGATGATCATTTGGTCTTTGGCCATGATCTTCGGGAGTTGTATGTGCTTGTGGTGTTAGTAAGTTCTTGTTAGGGAGCTTGGGTTTTAAGAGAAGATATTGGATGAATATGCCCTCTTTGTTATGGTCAAGCAGTTATGACATAATTCATGTTTACTTTTTATCCAAGTTTGCATTATTTGCAAAAGTAATGGATGATTCATCCAAGAGGTTCATGGCACAATCATCTTGTAATCAAAGAATATGTTCAAGTTGTGGTGGGATGTTGATCTTTGTGGTGTTTGTTTGATCTTCTTTTAGATGATCATTTGGTCTTTGGCCATGATCTTCTAAAATGTAAGTCGGGAGTTGTATGTGCTTGTGGTGTTAGTAAGTTCTTGTTAGGGAGCCTGGGTTTTAAGAGAAGATATTGGATGAATATGCCCTCTTTGTTATGGTCAAGTAGTTATGACATAATTCATGTTTACTTTTTATCCAAGTCTGTATTATTTGCAAAAGTAATGGATGATTCATCCAAGAGGTTCATGGCACAATCATCTTGTAATCAAAGAATATGTTCAAGTTGTGGTGGGATGTTGATTAAGGCATAAAGAATACACTGTAAATGATGATGGAAGCCATAATTGAATTCTCAAATGTTTTTAAGATCATGTTTGGTTGTTTAAGTTGCTTCAACTTTTGAACCATGCTTTCACAATCAAAGGTTATGTTCAAGAGAGTTTTTTTTCCAAGGTTTGCTACATGATAATGTTGTCTTACTTATTATTCTAGTGTCAGCAAGTTAAAAGCACTTCTTTAAATTCATAAGTGAGCTTTGAAAATTGAAGTCATCGCTAATAAAGATTAAAGTGTGGTGTGAAATCCATATCATGATGGGTACACATTGCAACTTCGAAATGAAAAGGACAATTGTTTAAATCTAAAAGCATTCATGTTACAGGTTATAAAAATACTTTGGGGTTACGAAAAAGTGCAAATTCTGTCACAAAGTGGGCACGAAAATTAAACTAAGTTTCAGGCATTGCCACGTTCTATTATTTGATTCAAGACTCTACCAAGTTACATTAAACTTAAAACTAAATCCATGGTTATTTCTGAGAGATTCAATCCAAATTCATCCTAATTTCTTGCCAAGGCATCACACTAATTTGAATTCAATTTACACAAGATACACAAGTCCTAATTCTAGGAGTAACTTGAAGCCTAGGCCTAAGATTATAAAAAAGTCCACGGCTATCCACGTTTTTTTTTCTCATCCAACCTTGCCATCACTTCCAAGTTTCCCACTTCATGGTACTTCTTTTCTTCTAAAAGCCTCTTTCATGCCTCATCACTAAGCAACCTTGTTTTCCTCCTCGTGTCAATGCTCATCCAGGCTCGAGCCACCACCATATCAAAAGCACATGTAAGAAACAATAACAACAAAGACAAGATTGTGATCAGTTCAAGAGCAGTGAGTACAACACCAAAACAAAAAGAATTATCTAAAATAAAATTGCGCAAAAGAATATAGTTGTGGCAGAAAGCAAGAATATAAGGGTGATTTCAAATTAGAAAAATCATATGCCATACAAATACAAGTAGTAGCAAGAATATACTTGGAACACATAAATTTTCAGGTTTGTAAGGCAAAGTTATTCCATGAACACATTAGCAACAAGAAGGAAATTCAAATGTTGGGGCCAAATATGATTCAAATATGCAAGGCATACAAAGATCACACAATGTCAACCATAAGAGTACAAGTTGCACATGATTTTCAGGGACAATGTATAAAACAAGCAAATACCATGGTATAAGGCAAGGCACATATCAACTACAACAGATAACATTTTCGTGCCAGACCAATATCATATATGATCTCAGGTCACTCAAATACACATATAATATCACAGGAATTCACAAATTTTACCGAGAGAGGACCACAACATTCTAAAAGTCAGAAAAGACAAACTAGCAGGATAATTTCTCAATTCCACTTTCTCTGTATCCCACATAATCAGGGTTCGTAGCAAATTCGCAACAGATTGGTTCACAGCAATATCACACCTCATCATTCCTCTAAAAAAGTTTCACACAAGTCTGGGAAATTCAAACATATTTTGCAAATAAAATATTCACCCTATATAAGCCTATACTATTATTCAGAAAAGGACCCACACAAAAAACACCTGAGGAAGAACCCTAAGCAATTTCTACATCAAAAGCCCTATTCACACTAAAGCTCGATTTCAAAGGTTTGTTGAGACTCAATTAAACCAGAGCTAAAAAGCCCTTCAGAAGCAAGATCGGAGACAGAAACATTTAAAAGAGAAATAGAAGAAGAAGCTCAGGCTGTAGAGGACAGAGTTGCAGTTAAAGTTACCTAGAACAATTAGAGACGCGTTCGCAAGAGGTTCTTCAAGAGGTACTCCTTTGAAATCTCGTTTATCTTCAATCTAAGCCCTATTACTGGTTTTGGCTCCGTTTGTTGCCCACTGATTTTTTTTGTTTTCTAGTGCTTTTGATTTGTGTTGATATGCTTCGTTTCAAATTTAGGGTTTATTTGAGATTAATGGGTTAGAGTGATTTTTTGTAAAATTAAACCCCAAATCGGTGATCTATGGGTTTTGTTTAGTGGTTTAGGTTTGTTTTGAGGGTTGACCAGAGGCAAACGACGGCGGCCATCGCGCGCCACCTTCTTCTCCGAAGAGGTTTCATGTTTCCGGCCACCCTTAATTGCAGAGTAAATTGAGCATTGAGGGAGAGGAGATTGAAGAGTGAGACTGTGTTTTTTGAAATGCTTCAGTTTTCTTCATTTCTTTGTTTATTATGGCTTTTGATGTGGTTGTGTTGTGGTGTGTGATCGGTGACACTTGTCACCGTCTTTGACAAGTGTCACCGGGAAATGGCCCCCTCATCCGATCCTTGTGCACATCGTGTGCATCATCCTTTCACTTTTAGATCAAGAGTCAACTTAACTCATTATTGATCAGACGCCTCATATGTCCTCTGGAGGTCAATGCGTGTTGACCAGAGTCCATGATGGACCCCCCCTAGCGTGTGCGCTTTGTGCTAATGGGCCTGGGGTTTCTTCTAATCACACACTCTTTTCTGAACCTGTCTAGCCGATTTCCTTGTCTTTTTTTTTTTCTTTTTTGCATTTTGTTTTCTTTATTTTTATAATATCCTAAAATAAACCCAAAAAATTTTAATTATTAATTTCCTTTTTAAGAAAAATCTCAAAATATTTTTATTAATTAATTTTTATTAATCTTATTAAAATCTTTTATTTAATATTAATTAATCAATTTAATAATTAGTTTTATTAAATATTTGATTTTAATTTAATTAATTATTTTAGATTAGTTTCCTTAATCCTTAAAAAAACCAAAATATTTATTCCAATTTTCATTTGATTCTACTTTTATTTTAATTAATTTTTAATATTAATTATTCTAATTAATAATTATTTTATTAGATAATTTTAATTAATCGCCTTTTCTTTAATTCTAAAAACTAAAAATACTTTTTCATTAATTCTTAAAACTTTTTTATCAATCAATTTCTAATTAATTCTATTAAACCTTTTTATTTAATATTAATTAACTTTAATAGTTATTTTTAATGAATATTTTAGTTTAATTTAATTAATTGCTTAAGTTTATGTTAACTAGTTATTTCACTATTCTTAGTTCTAAAAATCTAAAATCAATTAAGTTGTGATTTTTCCTCCTATTTCTTTTAGTTAGACTTAAGGTGATTAGGTTGTTAGTTAGATTAACATGCTTTGACTAACTTCTTTTTCCATTTTATCTAATTTAGGACTTTTTATGCGGTGCTTATACATATCGCTCATGTGTACTTTATCATGCCTCAATTATATTTATGTCATTCATGATATGTTTGTGCAAACCAACATTTTTCTAACTAATACCTTGACTTAATGTCAAGCCCTTTTCAAATACCTTGTAAGTCGATCGTTTTCACAATCGTCATCGACCTCGCACAACCTCCTCTTGGACTTTATACAATGATACTTGTTGCACATTTCACACTCTAGTTTGTATGCATATGTGTGATGGGTTTACTTTCACTATGACTTGATAATATCCTCATTTGTGCAAATGTATCCCTCTCCCATGAGATGTAATGTTTGTTCTCGCTTAAATAGTTTTAACACAAGAATAAAACCAACCTTTTTCAAAATAACAAATGAGCTTGATCCAATGTCAAGCATTTTCAAAACAAACTCAATTAATCACCAACTCATTCTCAAGCATACTTAATCCCCATATCAAGTTTCACTACCTATTTTGTAAGTCGAGCGCTTTTGCCTCGCCATCGACCTTACCCTATACCAATAGGACCTCCCTTCCACTAGTTCAAACCATAATTGTTCTACACGCAAATTCAAACCTCGATCA